GAGGTGATATTGGAGCTGTGACGTGTTGAAGGCGTGTGTGTGCTGTGTTTTGGATGCATGTGGTGCAGGAACTGTGAGTAAGATAGATACGTGGAGGACATGTAGCCTCTGGGGTGTGCAATGTTGTTGGTGGGTTCTGGGGAAATACAATGAGAAAACAAAATCTTCTCCCAACCCAGAAACCCTCTGTGCAGAGGTAGGAGAGACAGGAAACATTAAAAGAATAAATAAATAAGCATTAAATCAGAATGGATGCACATCACAGCAACCCACTAAGAGATTGCAAAGGCAGAAAGACATTCACCTTTTACATAGGCAAACAGGTACAACCCAGCATCCTGTTTTTTGCTGTTGTTTTTTCCAATATGAGGCTTTTATTGCATCTTTGAAATATTGCAAATGAGTGTGAGAAATCGTTGGGCACCTGGGTGTTTCTGTAGCTGGTCAACTTAGATCTCATTCAGCAGCCTGCTGTACTGTTCCTTTTTCAGAAACATAGATGCCAGCCCAAATGTTTCTGATATCCGTGTTTTTAATGGTTGTGGCTTGCTGAATCAACGCAGCTGAACTTGATACAAGTTCAATGTCATTTCCTTCAAGAATCAACTCATCCTTCTGGGCCTGAGATACTGAACGAGCAACGCCTGACCTCACCCGAACCCTGCGGATGTTTTTTTCACCCAAGAACTTTCTGATTTCAACAGGAGAACCGTTCTCCTGAACAACAGCATTGGTGGGGAAGTGAGTGCACAGGCCTCATTCTGTACCGGAAGCTCCGTGTAACACCCTGATCATGTTCTGGACGTGACTGCAGGTCGTGTGCTCGGTAGCCGGTTCCTTCTATTTCCCCGCCATTTGTCAACATGGAGCCGCTTCTTTTTCTTCCGGGGAGACTGAGCGCTATGCCGATGAGACTGAAGGCCCTCCGCAGGGCGCCTGTGAGGCCCTCCGCAACCGCTGTGCGTCCCTGCAGGGCGACGTCCACATTTTCTGGGATGCCAACAGTCTGACTGCTGACAATGGTCTTCATCCTCGCAGTAGATGCGGCGAAGAGCCATCACCCTGTTTTTAAATTTTTATTTATTGACTTCAGAGAGTGAGAGGCTCCACTTATTCATGCATCCATTGGCTGATTCTTGTATGTGCCCTGACCAGGGATTGAACCCGCAACCTTGATGGTTCCAGATGTAACCAATTGAGCTACCGTCAGGGCCAAGATAAATTTTCAAAATCCATACCTTGTTTTCCAAATAAGCAATGAATATACCTCAAGTAAGCGGACTTGACAACACCTTTAGTTGCACATAGTTCATCCTCACTTGATAATGGTAGTTGGCTTTTATGGGGGGAATGGAGAAACAAACTTCTCCCGTGGGGAGGCAGATGTACACTGCAAGGCCCTGACCAGTTATTCTCCCCCAGGAACTGAGGGATAGAGAGGGATCTCCCTAATGTTGCACTTCAAAAGGATGGCTCCCAATCCTTGAGTTTCTGTTTGAGGCTGGCAAGAGGCCCCGTTAGCAGTTATAAAGATTTACATGCACTTGGAAAGCTCTGAAAGAAAAGGGGCAGGGAGGAGTTACATCCCTTATTTTCAAGAAGGAGAATTAGCCATAGCTGATTTGGCTCAGTGGATTGAGCATCGGCCTGTGGACTGTAGGGTCCCGGGTTCGATCCTGGTCAAGGGCATGTACCTCGATTGTAGGCTCCTCCCTGGCCCGGGCCGTGGGAGGAGCTAGTGTAGGAGGACCAATCAATGTGTTTCTCTCACATCAATATTTCTCTCTGTCTTTCCCTCTCTCTTCCACTCTCTCTAAAAAAATCAACTGAAAAATATTCTTAGGTGAGGATTAAAAAAAAAAAAGGAGAATTAAGGCTCCTATCTTTTTTTTAAAAAAAATATATTTTATTGATTTTTTACAGAGAGGAAGGGAGAGAGATAGAGAGTTAGAAACATCGATGAGAGAGAAACATCGATCAGCCGCCTCCTGCACACCCCCTACTGGGGATGTGCCCGCAACCAAGGTACACGCCCTTGACCAGAATCAAACCCGGGACCTTTCAGTCCGCAGGCCGACGCTCTATCCACTGAGCCAAACCAGTTTTGGCAAGGCTCCTATCTTTTATTGGTATTGTTCTGGGAGGATACTGGGTGGGTGTGTTATGGATGGAAGTGGAGTTCTTGGGGTGCCGCCAGGAAAAGAATTTCCTGAGACCCCATGGGAGGGAGAGGTTTCATGGGAGGTTTTATTGATGATGTAAAATTAAGGGGGTTCCCCTCCAAGGTCCCATCTCTGTGCACCTCACCATGGAAGAAGTCCATTCTTATCTTCAGCAGGGCCAGTATTAAGGCCACTGCCCAGAATTTCTGTTCCATATTAAAGTACAGTGCAGCCCTGCCCTGGTTGCTCAGTGGTTAGAGCATAGGTTGGGCTGTGTGCAGGAGGCAACCAATTGAGGTGTCTCTCTCATGTCAATGTTTCTTTCTGTCTCTGTCCCTCCCTTACACTCCTTAAAAATCAATGGAAAAAATATCCTTGGGTGAGGACACACACACACACACACACACACACACACACACACACTACAGTCTGGTCCAGCATTTGGCTAACTTAGCTTGTGTTCCCAGCTGCAGTCCATTGCGTGTGGAGTCTGTTCGGCCATGGGCCTTGGGGCTGCTTAAGACCACATGGCTATGGAGGGAGAACACGTGAGCCCACGGGCAAGTGCAGGGCGGGGAGCAAGAGAGAGAAAGCACAAGAAAGAGAGAGGGAACTCTTTTGTCTGGAGATTTTATTTTATTTTAAAAATATGTTTTTATTGATTTTCAGAGAGCGAGAAAGGGAGAGGGAGAGAGAGAGAAACATTGACATGAGAAAGAAACATCTATCAGCTGCCCGACAGGAGGATTGAGCCCAAAACCTGGGCATGTGCCATGCCCAGGAATTGAACCTGCGACCTTTTGGTGCACAGGGCAATGCTCAACCAAATGAGCCACACCCGCCAGAGATTTTAACCCTGCAAGATTTTGCATGCTTCTGAGGGAGTCCACCCCACTAGCCAATCCATTGTTCCCCAGGCTAGACTGACAGGCGAGCACCTTCCCTAGGTCACCGTGACTTCACTTTGCATGTGCCCATCTCCCCTTTGTTCCCCCCCCCCCATATGTAGCGAATGGACTGGTGGTTCCCTGGGGAGCATGAAGCTGTAGCTTCCTAGTGAAGCTGCCCAGATGACCACACTTACAATGTTTGGCCTCCCTTCTGCTTTCTTTCTTTGTTTTATTATTATTATTTAAAAATTTTTTTTGAATTGATTTTTTTACCGAGAGGAAGGGGGGTGAAGAAAGAGAGAGAGAGAGAGAGAGAACCATCGATTGGTTGCCTCCCACACAAGTCCCAACTGGGGATTGAACCCACAACCTGGGGATGTGTCCTGATCAAACCGGCCACCTTTTGGTGTACTGGACGATGGGCCAACCAACTGAGCCATTTTCTGTATTAATATTAACCAGCTAATTACGAGAATAATAGGTGTATGCAGTGTTGACATTGTGCGTGGAATGTGTCTGTCAGGACGTCTGGTGTGAGGGAGGGCTTGTATGACTTTGGAGGCAGTTCGGAGAGTTGAGTGGGATGAAAGTGATAGTGTCTAGGGCGGTGATGGCGAACCTATGACACGCGTGTCAGAGGTGACATGCGAACTCATTTTTTTGGTTGATTTTTCTTTGTTAAATGGCATTTAAATATATAAAATAAATATCAAAAATATAAATCTTTGTTTTCCTATGGTTGCAAATATCAAAAAATTTCTATATGTGACACGGCACCAGAGTTAAGTTAGGCTTTTTCAAAATGCTGACACGCCGAGCTCAAAAGGTTCACAGTCACTGCCCTAGGGTGTTTGTTGTGTGGATGCTGCATGTGAGGAGGGGTGTGTGCGAGAGGGGGTGACACGTGGAATTAGTTCAGAACGTGATTGGGAGAAACATTAATGGGGACATCATGAAGTCTGGGGCTTAACTCTGTGATTTCATTTTCCCCAAAAAACCAGTAGAGAATTTTTATGAGTTTATCTGAGCCAGACTGACCACATCCTAGGTATGCTGGGGGAGCAAGATCTCACATACTCCCCTCGGCTCTGGCTTGATAGCTCAGCTGGTTAGAGCTGTGTCCTGATGAGCCAAGACTGCAGGTTTAATTCCTGGTCAGGGTACATGCCCGGCTTGCAGGCTCAGTCCCAAGTGCAGGAGGCAGTCAATAGATGTTTCTCTTTCTTGGATGTTTCTATTTCTCCCTCTCCCTTCCTCGTTCTGAAATTAAGAAAAACATTAAAAAAAAAAAACCCACATGAAAAATTTTTAAAAAGAATCAACCAGTGAATGCATCAATAAGTGGAACAACAATTGTTGTTTCTTTCTCTCCCCCCTTTCTCTTACTCTCTAAAATCAATAAATAAAAATTAAAATAAAAAATATTTAAAATGCTTCCCTTCCCTAATTACACTGAACCTTTTTTCTGACAAAGTCCATTTGGATATTTATAACATCATTCCAGGGCCATACAAAATTAACAGTCTAAAAACTAGCTTCGTATACTTGATCATTTAATTAACTCACTTCTAATGCCTTGGCAGGGACAGACCAAATGATTTCCCCCGTCTTATACCAGGGGGCTCTTCCCCAGAGGATAGTGCTTGAGGACTACAATTCCCAGGAGGCCTGGCTCCACCAAACTGGAAAACGGAAGTCTTTAATGGGTGGGACTGAGGGAAGGCTGGTCTGAAAGAGAGGCAGCCCAGCCAATGGGTGATCCCGGTGGAATTGAAACCTACACTAATTACCTCGAGGCTCATTGGAATCTTTGGCGCCTTGGTTTCAGTGGTGGATGTGTGATGGACGGGTGAAGGGACCACTGGAAGGGCAGGGGGGCGGATCCAGAGAGTGTGGGAGGGGAGGAGTGATGACTAGCAGGCGGTTCCGCCAATCAATGGCGGAAGTCGCGGGAGGGGGCCGGGCGAATAACCCAGGGCGACTTTAGCGGCGGGGTCAGTGCCATGGCGGAGCCGGTGAGGAAACGCGGCCGGCGTTCCCGAGGCGGCGGTGTCGGCCGAGGAACTCGGGGGGCGCGGGGCCGGCGACCTGGCGCCCAGCGGAGTCCAGCCCGGCGCTCCGTGGAGTCGGTGCTTGTGGACTTGGTCAGCGACAGCGATGAGGAAATCTTGGAGGTTTCAACGGCGCGGGGCTCAGCGGACCCGGTCGAAGCCCCGCTCCCGGAGTCCCCCGGGCCGGCCGCGCCCCCCGACAGCCGGGACGACAGCGACAGCGACAGTGACAGCGAAGGGGCGGACGCACGGCCGGCAGGAGCCCCTCCGACCGTGGTCAGGCGGCGGCGGCGGCTGCTGCTGGACCCGGGGGAGGCACCGGCGGTTCCAGTGTACTCGGAGAAGGTGGAGCCGGTTCCGGGGGGCTGGCGCGGGCGGGCTGGGTTTGAGTACTGAGGGTAGGTTTGGGGGTGTTCTTGGGAGACTGGCCCAAGCAGGGCCTTGCAGGCAGAGCGAGGCAGGGTTCCTGGGGTGTCTGCAGACTGGGGAGATGAAGGGGTTTGAGGTGTGCAGGGAGCTTGGGGTTCCCGTCGGGGGCAGAGAGAGGCGATGGGGCTGGCATCCCGGAGGAGGGTCTGGGACGGGAATTTGGGGCATGTTCGATTTTGAGGTTGGAGCCCATTGCTAAGGATCCTGGGGGCTGGGGGTTATAACAGTTCAGAGCGAAGTGGGGGCTCCAGGAGCCTGGGGCCCCCGGCTGGTCGATGAGCTGGGGGCGGGGGCTGGGGTCCCCTAGGAGTCTAAGATAGCGGATGGCTGGCAACCTAGTACGCAGGTCGCACTGAACCTGCATCCTCAGGGGCCCAGGAAAGGACGTGCGGGAGTCCGGACGCTCCCATGTGGCTCCCGGGAAAGCCCGAGGCCGGAAGAAGGCTGTGTCCTGGGAAGAGCTGGGAGCCCATGGAGGCCTGGGTGTGAGGGGAGAGTCACCCCTTTCCCCTGTCAGCCGAGGGAGGACTTGGGGCTGACCCATGTTTGTCTTTGCAGGTGAAGAGCAGCCTCCAGCTCCTCCCAGATCACCTGCCCCTCCTGAAACTCTGCCCCCCGGGGCCTGAGGAAGGTGAGGAAGGGCCTCCGGGGAGAGAGGCTGGGGGAGTTTACATCCCGTCCCCACCGCTAGCTGTTGCCTGAGGCTCAGGGCCGGAGTGGGAGAGATGGCTCCTGCACCCCAGCCAGAAAAATGCTCCGTGGGGAAGGAGCTGACTTGCTCATCAGAAGGCACAGGAAGTGCTGTCACACCACCCCTTTTCCAGCTCCAGTAGGGACAGGAGTGTGCTGACGTGCAGATTTCCAGGCGCCATCCCTGGAGAGTCAGTTCTGCAGTCTTGGGGACAAGGGGGGGGGAGGTGTTGAGAATCTGTAACCTTGTTGCATCTGCAGAAAGTTCCTGGGAGCACTCTGGAGCTAGCAGGACGTTCTTGGGGTCTTATCAGGGCGCCCAGCCTTCGTCCTCCCCCAGTGATGCGATTTTTGCAACCCATCCAAGGGCAATGACCAGGAACCACGGTTAATAAGGGAGCGATCCAGTGGGCAATTTCAGATCTAGGACCAGGACTTCTCTACGGTGAGGGAGTGTGGTAGGGTGCAGAGCTGATTTAGGGACTAGCTGTCTGGGTTTGTCATTATTATTTTTTTTTCGTCTGGGTTTGAATCTCAGCTCTACTCATTAGCTGAGTGACCTTGGGCAAATTCATCTCTCAAAGCTTTAATTTCCTCCTCAGGAAAACGGGGATAGTAGTGGGCCTGTGTCAAAGGATGCTAGTGAGAATTAACTAAAGAGAACATATCGGAAGCCCTCTCTCGGGCTACAGGTATAGTTCAGGACCGTGTCTGGCATGTAGAGTGCTGTTTAAATGTACCTTCTTCCTTGCTCCTCACAATGTGGGCCCGAGAATGTTGGCCATCTCCCGAGAGCTTGTCAGAAATGCAGAATCTCAGGCGGCTGGCAGCTGCCATATTTAGCCAGGACAAAGGTTTCTTAACAGCAGCGCTACTGACATTGGACTGGATAGTTCTTTGTTGTGGGGCTGTTCTGTGCATTGCAGGATGTTTAGCAGCATCCTGATCTCCTACCCACTAGATAGCAGTGTCGCAGCCCGAACCCCACCCCCTTGCATTGTGGCAGCCAAATATTCTCCAGCTATTGCCACATATCCTCTGGGAGGCAAAATTGCCTCCGATTGAGAACCACTGGTCTAGGATTTGTCATCATTGTTTTGTTTTCAGAGTATTAATCTTTATGGTTAATGACGGCCTTCTATTGGTGGCAAGCAAGTAGAAAAGAGTTACATTCTAGAATAATACCTGGTTTCTGATTATTTCACAATGCATACAAATATTGAATTATGCTCTACATCTGAAACTAATAAAATGTTATATGTCAGTTATACCTCAATAAGAAAGGGAAAAATACCTACTTTACTTTTACAAGGAATTAAGTGATTTAAAGAAAGTTACTAAAATAACAGTGCAGCCGAAACCGGTTTGGCTCAGTGGATAGAGCGTCAGCCTGCGGACTGAGAGGTCCCGGGTTCGATTCCGGTCAAGGGCATGTACCTGGGTTGCGGGCACATCCCCGGTGGGGGATGTGCAAGAGGCAGCTGATCGATGTTTCTCTCTCATCGATGTTTCTAACTCTCTCTATCTCTCTCCCTTCCTCTCTGTGAAAAATCAATAAAACATATTAAAAAAAAAATAAATAGCCGAAACCGGTTTGGCTCAGTGGGTAGAGCGTCGGCCTGTGGACTGAAAGGTCCCAGGTTCGATTCCGGTCAGGGGCATGTACCTGGGTTGCGGGCATATCCCCAGTAGGAGATGTGCAGGAGGCAGCTGATCAATGTTTCTCATCGATGTTTCTAGCTCTCTATCTCTCTCCCTTCCTCTCTGTAAAAAATCAATAAAATATATTTAAAATAAATAAATAAATAAATAAATAAAATAACAGTGCAGAGATATGGCAAAATGTGATGACATTCACATGGATAACATTTGAGAAACATGGACCTAGAGCAGCGGTTCTCAACCTGTGGGTCGCGACCCCTTTGGGGGTCGAACGACTCTTTCACAGGGGTCGCCTAAGACCATCGGTAAACACATATAATTACATTACGATTCATAACAGTAGCAAAGTTACAGTTATGAAGTAGCAACGAAAATAATTTTGATTGGGGGTCACCACCACATGAGGAGCTGTATGAAAGGGTCGCGGCGTTAGGAAGGTTGAGAACCACTGGCCTAGAGGGTCTATACTCCTCTTTTCTTTGCCTCATTCCCCTCTTGCCTCAATGCCCTATTCCATAGTCTCTCTGCCCACCAAACTGAGTGCAGGAAGAAAATGGAAACGTTTCTAAAATATACTTTGACAACATCTATTTTATTTTATTTTATTTTTATTTTTTAAAATATATTTTATTGATTTTTTACAGAGAGGAAGGTGGAGAGATAGAGAGTTAGAAACATCGATGAGAGAGAAACATCGATCAGCTGCCTCCTACACATCTCCTACTGGGGATATGCCCGCAACCCAGGTACATGCCCCTGACCGGAATCGAACCTGGGACCTTTCAGTCCGCAGGCCGACGCTCTATCCACTGAGCCAAACCGGTTTCGGCGACAACATCTATTTTAATGTATGTGTTACAATGTACATACTAGCGCAGTGGTTCTCAACCTTCCTAATGCCGCGGCCCTTTCATACAGTTCCTCAGGTTGTGGGGACCCCCAACCATAAAATTATTTTCGTGGCTACTTCATAACTGTAAAGTTGCTACTGTTATGAATCGTCATGTAAATATCTGATATGCAGGATGTATTTAGGCGACCCCTGTGAAAGGGTTGTTCGACCCCCAAAGGGGTCGCGACCCACAGGTTGAGAACCGCTGTGCTAGTATTACATGTGTACTAATAGTATTATACTCAGTATTAAGTAGTATAATAGCGGTATTAGACATATACCCTGTGGGTTGTGTGCTTGGTGTTTCTTCTTTGCGGGGTACATGTGATCAAAAAGGTGAGACCACTGCTGAGTGCAGCGGCCGCTTATCAGGAGCCCACACTTGCACAGTGTCTGCCGCAGTGTCTGCCGCCTCATGCCGCATGCACGGGGCTCGGACACCCCTGCTCTGACCTTTCAGACTCCAGCTCGTGCTTTTCTCTGAGTTAAGCGTTTCCTTGCCCTCACGCCCCCCGAGCGCTTCCACAGGCTTGTGATGGAGTCCTGTGGGGGCTCCGCGTCTGCTCCTTCCTGCGGACTTCCTGAAGCCCCTGGCTCGTATCTCCTCTCCTTGGCCTCTTGCTGCCCTCTCTTGGCTCACCCTTCCTCCCCTCTCCTCTGTCCCCAGAGGGCGACATGGCGGACTCCAGCAGTCCCCAAGCCGAGGATCTCTCAGGCCCAGACTCGCCCTGGAAGAAGAAGCTGAGGAGCAAGGCTGAAGACGAAAAGGAGAAAAGGACGGCGTCTCTGTGAGTGAGGCTGGGCACTGAGGCCCGAGGAGCGGGAGGGAAGGGAGGGGAGCTGAGGCAAGCAGGACCCTTGGTGGCTCCTGAAGGGTAAGGAGAGGGATGGAAGGAATCTTGAGGTTCAGGCGAGGAATGAAGCTCTTGGGGGAAGAGGTGGGCCACACGAGAGATGGCCGTGAGCCTTCAGGGCCGCCTATAGGAGTGGAGTGTTTTTCCTTTGTGTCTGCGATGGTGGTAACGCAGGGGTGAGGGTGTGGCCTGTGGTTCACATCCAGCCAGCTGCCTCTTCCCTGTCCCCTCACTGCTTGCTGCACTGTCCTCTTCTGTAAAATGGGGAGAACACTGGTACCCGTCAGAATTTGTTAGTAGATTAATACTCGGAGCCCTGGCTGGTTGGCTTAGTTGGGCATTGTCCCATGCTCCAAGAAGTCACAGGTTCGATTCCTGGTCAGGGCACATGTCTGGGTTGTAGGCTCGATCCCCAGTAGGGGGCGTGCAAAAGGCAGCTGATCAGTGGCTCTCTCCCATTGACGTTTTTCTCTCTCCTCTCCCTCTCTCTCTAAAATCAATAAAAACATATTAATAAAAAGAAAAGTTAGCCCTGACCAGTTTGGCTCAGTGGCTAGAGCATCGGCATGTGGACTGAAGAGTCCCAGGTTCGATTCTGGTCAAGGGCATGTACCTTGGTTGTGTGCACATCCCCAGTAGGGGGTATGCAGGAGGCAGCTCATGGATGTTTCTCTCTCATGGATGTTTCTAACTCTCTATCCCTCTCCCTTCCTCTCTGTAAAAAATCAATAAAATATATTAAAAAAAAAGAAAGAAAGAAAGAAAGAAAGAAAGAAAGAAAGAAAGAAAGAAAGAAAGAAAGAAAGAAAGAAAGAAAAGTTAACACTGGCATAGAGTAAGTTTTCGGAAGTGACTTACCGTAAGAGTTGGGCATTGTCGCCCTGGCCGGTGTGGCTTGGTGGAGCGTCAGCTCATACCCCGAAAGATCGCGGTTCCATTCCAGTCAGGGTGCAGGCCCAGGCTGCAGGTTTGGTCCCCAGTTAGGGTGCGTACGGGAGGCTACTGATCAATGTCTGCCCCTCACCCCCCACCCACCCCGGCCCCACCTACCACCTTCCTCTAAAATCAAACATATCCCCAGGTGAAGATTAGGGGGAAAAAGAGGCATTTTCTTCTCTATAAAAATGATACTCGGGTCTTCCTGTCCTTTCCTCTTTGTCTTCAACAAGGTGGACGTTATGGAAGGTGTTCCCTCTTGATTCTCTAACCCCCCTCTGTTTGCAGGCGTCCGTAGCCCACAAGGAGGGGTGTGAGACGGGGGTCTCTCTTCCTCCATCTTGCCTTTCTCTTCTCTCTGCAGGTCTCAGGACACCTCTCCTTTGCCCTCACCCCTGCCAAGGACCAAGAGCAGAAAACATACCCGAGCTCTCCAGAAGTTAAGGTGCCGGGGCAGGGGCCGGGCTTGTGGAGAGGGTCAGGTGGGGGCGGCCCACCCAGCTGACCGAAGTCCTTTTCCCACGGCAGGGAGGTGAACAAGCGCCTCCAGGACCTTCGCTCCTGCCTGAGTCCCAAGCAGCGTCAGGGCCAGGACCAACTGAGCCAAGATGATGAGGTGGTCCTTTTGGAGGGACCCATTCTCCCGAGGAGCCCGCGACGCTTCCAGCTCAAAGTCCGGTGCCGGGCTGACCTGATCAGATTGCCCGTCACAATGGTAAGTGCGTGCAGGGCCTGTGGGGGCTGGTCCCAGGAGAGGCCGTGGTCAGGCAGGGGGGACTGTGTTTCTTTGCCCATCCCGCTCTTTCAGGCTCCATGCCTTTGTGCTCACTATTCCCTTGGTCTGTATTGTCTTTTATTTTCCCTCCCTTTTCTGGCAAAATTCCCACCCATTTTTCGAGAAGGATTTCCCCTTGAGGCTAAGCATCCTAAGGAGCTTTATTGGCAGCCCCCTCCCAGGATGTCTCCTTCCCTCCTTCCTTCCCTCAGACCCCGAGCGTTTCTCTTCCTAATGCTCTCGCTACAGTAGACACGCAGATTCTCAGTGGCGCTCAGCTCCCCCACCTTCCCAGTGAAGCCGACTCTTTGTAAGGATGACTCCATCCAAAAACAAGAATGATAACAGAAAGGAGCCATAACCATGCATTGGCAAGCAGCTCAGCCAGAGCTTGCAAACTGGCAGCCATGGCCTTGTCAACAGGCATCTTCCTTTTCCACCTGCAGAGCGCCGTTAAAGCATAGGAGCTTACAGCAACAACAGAAAAGCCCTACCCAGTTTGGCTCAGGGGGTAGAGCGTTGGCCCGTGGACGTAAGGGTTGCTGGTTCCGTTCCGATCAAGGGCACGCACCTGGGTTGGAGGCTCGATTCCCGGCCTGGCCGGGGCATGTGCAGGCGGCAACCCATCCATGTGTCTCTGACATCGATGTGTCTCTCTCTGTCTCTCCCCCTCCCTTCCTCTCTCTAAAAGTCAATGGAAAAATGTTCTTGGGTGAGGATTAACACAAAACAAATGCACAAAGGAAAAAACAGGATTGATTGCCAGCCTTTGCAGTAGGTGATTTCATGCAAAGGTCCGGATGTCTGGCTTCTCTTAAGTAGGAAGACATAGTCACGGGCGACAGCGACCTGTTGCCTCCTGCACGCCACCTACCGCGGTTGAGCCTGAAACCCAGACATGTGTCCTGACGGGGAAATCAAACCAGCAACCTTTTGTGCATGGGACAACACCCAACCACCTGAGCCGCCCTGGCCGGGCCTCACTGGCTGCTTAGATGGGGCATGTGAGCTCCACTTGGCTGCAATCCCCGCCCTCCCCTTTTTCCTCCTAATCCATGGTTGCTTCATTTCTTCGTGTTACTTGCCCGAACCCCTATTGACATTTTATTCTGTATTTCCCCAGGTAAACATGACAAACTCCCAGCTGAGGAGCTCGAGTAGCAAAGGCCACACACACTTGTGTTGGGGGCGGTGATGGGGACTTCAAGGCAGGAAGGCCTCCTTGTTCTTCTCTCCTTCCCTAGTCGGAGCCCCTACAGAGTGTGGTGGACCACATGGCCACCCATCTCGGGGTGTCCCCAAGCAGGATCCTCTTGCTCTTTGGAGAGACAGAGCTGTCCCCTACCGCCACCCCCCGGACCCTAAAGCTTGGAGTGGCTGACATCATTGGTGAGAGGAGGGCAGGGAGGTAGAGCCTTGAGGAGGCTTTTGCTCCAGGGAGGGGATGAAAGGAAAGGCTGGGTGGGGGGCTGGCTTCCAACCCCAGCGCCCTGGTCCTGCCTCCACAGACTGTGTGGTGCTGGCGAGCTCCCCCGAGGCGGCAGAGGCCTCCCACCTGCTCCAGCTGCGTGTGCAGGGGAAGGAGAAGCACCAGACGCTGCAAGTCTCGCTGTCCCGAGTGAGTGGGAGAGATGGCTCTCCGCGCCCTCACCCTTCCTGTGCCTCCTCTCTCGTCAGTTAACAGGATGGGTTCCTTCTCGTCCTGATTTGCTGGAGACACTGCCCTCCCTGGTGTTGGGTTCCCGCGCATCCTGGATGGTGGGAAAAGCCCCTCATTCACCTTCCCGCCCCTTCTGCTGGGAACCTCTGCTCTAGTCTCCTGTCTCCTTCCAGTTAAAATGGAAAGGACCTTTGGACAGTAACCACTAAAACCCGTCAAAGTAGCAAATGGAGGCCACACTTGTAAGTGACATTGAGGGCACTGAATTTCACAGCCACCTTCAGGGAAAGTAGTTACCGTCATTGAACAAAAAGGGAATTGAGGTCTAGGGAGGTGGGTGACTTGCTCTTTAGTGTCCGAGGGTTGCTGTAACAAAGCACCACAAACTGAGAGGCTTAGAACAACAGGATGCATTCTGTCACAGTTCTGGGGGGTAGAAATCGGAAGGTAGGAGGTGCCAGCAGGGTCACGCCCCCTGAGACTGCGTAGGATCCTCCTGCCTCTTCCAGTTGACCTGGTGTTCCTAGACTTGCCCCTGCCTCACTGCTATCTGCCTCTGTTGTCACATGGCTTCTCCCTGGATGTCTGTTTTCTCTTCTTACAAGGACACCGGCCATGTTGCATTAGTGCCCACCCTAATCAGTATGACCTCATCTTAACTTGGTTACATCTGCGAAGGCCCTACTTCCAAGTAAGGTCGCATTCACACCTACCAGGGGGTAGGACCACAAGGTATCTTTTTGGAGGGGACACAGTTCAAACTGTAATACTTGCCTAAGGACACATCCGGTCAAGTGGGAGAGCCTGCCTCCAGGCGATCGCTCTCACGCTGGAGTCATTGCCTGACCTGCGCCTCCGCCCTAAGCTGTGGGCTCTGTGACCTGGTTCCCTAGAGAGGAACCAACTCTCCTGGCTTCTTTGTCCACTCGCCCTCCCCTCCAAAGGCAGGACTTGACGTGTCCCCTTGTCCTCCCTGTCCCAGGTCCTCTGCCCCTCCGAGTTCTTCCCAGCGCCTTTCATTTACATCAGCTTTTCCTGTCTGTCCAGGATTCTCCCCTCAAGACCCTCATGTCCCACTACGAGGAGGCCATGGGACTCTCCGGCCACAAGCTCTCCTTCTTCTTTGATGGGACAAAGCTTTCGGGCAAGGAGCTGCCGGCTGATCTGGGCATGGAATCCGGGGACCTCATTGAGGTCTGGGGCTGAAACCCCGCTCCCTGTTGGGAGACCCTCATGGGACCCCCACTACTGGACTTGGAGAACAGCTGTCCCCTTTGGCCGTGAAGGGCTAGCCAAAGCTGAGGTAGAACTTATCTTCAAGCTGAAGCAAAACCGAGGCATGGTATTTGACCCTCTCCCGCTCACTTTAGTTTCAAACTGTTAGTGCCCTGGTTTGTTGTGTTTGTCATTGCTGCCCGGGGTGGACGGTGGCTCCATTCCCATGGTGTGCTGAGCTCGGCGACCCCCTGGGACATTCCCCACCCCCACCTTTTCACTCCCACCATCACCCTTTCCTTCACTGAACTGCTCATGTTTGAAGAGGGAGTGGAAATAAATGAGGGTTGAGAATGAGATTCCAGCCCTGGGACAGCCGTGGCCGTAGTCTCATTTGGAGGTAGGTGGTGAGGTTTGCTTGCGGCACGGACGCAGGAAAAGAAATGATCGAGCTCACGCAGGCAGGAGCTTCCGCGCAGGCAGACGGGGCTACTCTTAAAGGATCTCGAAGGTTCTCGGTCCTGGAGTCCAGCTCACCCAGGGCCTGCAGAGCCCCGTCCTGAGGCGCACATTGTTGAGGGCAGAGCTGAGCACAGGAGGCCTTTTGGATCGCGGGTCCTAGCCATGCCAGGATCTCATGCAAGGCTCTGGTTTCATCGCTTCTCTCCCCTTCACGCCACCTTCTCCCATACGCATCCACTCTGGGATGTGATTACATGTCTTTGCATATGAATTTATCCTTGTAAAACGCAGTGCTGTACATGTGAATATCCTTATGTACGTGGTGTGCTGTGATCTGTGCGGCTCCTTTTCTCACTCAACACGTGTTGCTTGTTTTACATCGACCTCGTTGCTTTGAACTGCTCTGCGACATTCCACAGTGGGCGTCAGCGGGGTGTCCCTTACACGTTCACTGGTGGACCCCTCGGTGACTCCATCCCTAGGTACCTGCAACCCCTTGGCTCATAGACAAAGCCACGAGGAATATCCTGTTGAGTCCCCTTCCACGCTGTGTGGAAAGCTCTCTGGCATAGACACCCAGGATGGGACTGGGTCGGGTTCATTTCTCTATGGCCTGCCAGAGTTTTCTTCCGATGGTCGCTGACCCTCCCACTGGACGCTCCCCATTTCTCCCGCCCTTGCTGGCACTTTGATTGCCCCGTTTCTCTTTTCGCCAGTCTGATGGGTATGAAGTGGCACCATGTTTTAATGTACATTCATCTCATTCCAGGAATTTGGGAAATTTCTTCATGTACCTGTCAGCCTTTCTGGTTCCCCTTTCTGTAAGCTGTTCATTTCTCTCTTTATTCTCAAGAGTTGCTCATATATTCCTGGGCAGTTGCAGATAACTCAGAGTGGCACTTGGGTTTATATACCTAGGAGTGCCCTTTACTGAAGAGACGTTTTTAATTTTAATTTAGGTGAATGAACTGTTTTTTTATGTAATTTGTTGCTTTTTGATTTCTTATTTAAAAGTAGTTGAGATATTTTGCATTTTCTTTTGTTAGCTTCCCGGCTCTTCCTTTCACGTTTAGGCCACGGAGGGGCTGAAGTCCAGCTGTGCACACTGGCACTGGCCTTGGCTGGTGTCTGCCCTGCATGGCTACACATTTCTGCTCGTTGATTGATTCCAGGCTGTACTGGCTGCTAAATATTGAGATTTACTTTTAAACTATTTAAAATTCACATTTGTATATGAGATCCAAGTCTTATTTTCATTATATAATGAGCCAGTTTCCTCAGTGTCTACTAATAAAGCCATTAATTTCCCACTAGATGTGGTATAATTTTGGCAATAGTGTATCACATTCTTAAAATATTTTTTGTTAGAATGTGGCATTCTTTTGACCTTGTATTGTAGGAAAGAAACCTTTATGACATTTAAATAATATATAATACAGTATAGCTCTCATTTTTTCAGATCTTTTATGTCTGCTAATAACTTTGAACACATTAAAAGTATATATTCAGTCTTAGCAGAATAAATGGGAATACATTTCACTTGTGTGTACTTGAGGATTTCTGTCTTTGTGGCCCTCATGGGACCCCCACACAGTCTGTGACTAAGACATTCCTTGTCCCCTCACATCCATTGTTCCTCCTTCCAGGCTAACAGAGACTTCAGAATGAAGACAGCACTGCCCAGTCTGCACGTAGCTGGGCACGGTCCAGTGCTGGTTCAGGCTCTTGGGGTACAAGGGGAGGAGGACCGCCCGTTCCAGGATGCGACCATAGTGGGCAGTGCCTGCCCCCACCTTCGCTTTCGTCCTGGAAGGGGAGCAACCCAACTGACGCGAGGTGACCTAGGGTGGAAGCCACACAAGGACGGTCAAGGAGAGCCTTCATGCAGCATTTTGCCAGCCCTGTGCACCTCTGGGCTACAAGGGAAAGGGGAACTTCTGTCTTAATCGTATTGTAGTTGTCAGGTCACCGAAGGAGGAACGCAATGAGGCCGGAATGGTGAGGGATTCCGAATTCATTCAATCATCCGCACACCAGGTGGCTGAGCCTGGATGGCTCCAGCACCAGTGCTGGGAGTCAGCGGCTTTTAAAGGCCTTTTGGCGGGCTTTTTCTGGGCGGAGACTTCTTTATGCAGACCCGAGGGGTGCCGGGGTCCAACCCCAGCAGGTCCAGGGGTCCCCAAAGGTGTGGACGGAGTCGGCGAAGAAGGAAGGACACGGAGACAGTGTTCAGTTGATCAGCAGCCTAGCCAGGATCTCCAGCCAGGATCTCCAGCCAAGTTCTGGTCTGGATCTCCAGAGAGGTTCTGCTTCAGATCTCCAGCCAGGTTCTGTGTCCATGTTCTCTTGCTGGGTTCTCCAGCCAGGTTCAGTCCAGGTTCTCCAGCCAGGTTCAGTCACCAGGTTCTAGTCAGGTTCTTTTGTCAATTTCTGTAGTCAGGTTCAGTCCAGGATCTTTTGCCATGTTCTCTCCAGCGAAGTTCTTCTGTCTCTAGAGAACGTTCTGTGTAGGTTCTGTGCCTAGGTTCTGTCTCTCTTGGTTCCGTATTCTAAGTTCTGTGTCTTGCTGTCTTATTACATCTGTATTTATACCAGTTGATTTAATCCTATCAACCTCTATTCCAAAGGTTAGGGCGTTTCTTATCTTCATTCCAGGGAGTAAAGATTATGTAGCTTAAGCATGATTGTTCGTAGTTAAAGTGATTAATTACCCACCTGGCACTAGTTAAGAGGTTTTATTCCCTCCCTAACTTCAGGGGAAAATCCCTACCTGGGGAAACAACCTTTCTCAGAGACCTTGGTTAAAACACATAGTGCCAAGAAGGTGAGCAAACATATTAAGAACAGTATGCCATATATGCCAGGTCCCTTGAAACAGCAAGCATCGACCGGCTCCCGGCAAATTCCCCCTTTTTTATTTTTTAAAAGCAGGCATTAAAAAGAAAAACCTGAAATGCTCTCTTGTATCCACTTTAAGAGTAGGATTGGCGCTTTCCGCTATTACCTGAGTCCTGATCTATCACCCCAGGGAGAGCTTGCCAATCCTGCACTTTCCCGGGGTGGAAAGGCTGCAGTGGGGTTAAGGATAAGGCTCCTTGGGCCTACCTTCTCCCATGCCATTACATTTACCTTTCCTTCCTCAGAAAAGCATGGACATATTTCTTGTATAAAACGTTCTGTCTGACTGGGGAGTAACCTTAATTCCTCTGCTAGCAAGCATATATGTTAAAAGATCAATACAGAGTCTTTTTTCTTTAGACTCAGTATGGCACATCTTCTTAATCTAAAGATCAATACAAAGTCTTCTTTCTTTGGACTCAGTATGGCACATCTTCTCAATCTAAGTTCTGTACTATCCACCTTCTTACCCTACTTATCCTCTATAGGGGGGTCTGAAGTACCCTGGTGGAGTCCTATCCGTCCCGAATGTGGGGGTTCTCAATGGAGGGGCTTACCTAGGGGAATCCTGTTCCAGGGGTTCCCAAAGGTGTGGACGGAGTCGGCGAAGACTATCCACCCTCTTCCTACGGTGGAGTCCTATCCATCCCGAGAGTGGGGCTTACCTAGGGGTCCCTGTTCGGGCGCCATTTGCTGGGGTCCAACCCCAGCAGGTCCAGGGGTCCCCAAAGGTGTGGACGGAGTCTGCGAAGAAGGAATGACACGGAGAAGCGTTCAGTTGTTCAGCAGCTTAGCCAGGATCTCCAGCCAGGATCTCCAGCCAAGTTCTGGTCTGGATCTCCAGAGAGGTTCTGCTTAGGATCTCCAGCCAGGTTCTGTGTCCACGTTCTCTTGCTAGGTTCTCCAGCCAGGTTCTGTAGCCATGTTCCCTCTCTAGGTTCTCCAGCCAGGTTCAGTCACCAGGTTCTAGTCAGGTTCTCTTGCCAATTTCTGTAGTCAGGTTCAGTCCAGGATCTTTTGCCATGTTCTCTCCAGCGAAGTTCTGTGTTCTAAGTTCTGTGTTCTAAGTTCTGTGTCTTGCTGTCTTGTTACATCTGTATTTATACCAGTTGATTCAAATCCTATCAATCTCTATTACAAAGGTTAGGGCGTTTCTTATCTCCATTCCAGGGAGTAAAGATTATGTAGCTTAAGCATGATTGTTCATAGTTAAAGTGATTAATTACCCGCCTGGCACTTAGTTGAGAGGTTTTATTCCCTCCCTAACTTCAGGGGAAAATCCCTACCTGGGGAAACAACCTTTCTCAGAGAGGTGACCTTGGTTAAAACACATAGTGCCAAGAAGGTGAGCAAACATATTAAGAACAGTATGCCATATATGCCAGTTCCCTTGAAACAGCAAGCATGGACTGGCTCCTGGCAGAGGGGAGAGAGTGGAATGTGTTCACCACAAGTGAAATGTGGTCTCAGCAAAGGGAATGTCCATAGTGAAATGACCTGAAAAGCCAGTTCCTCGGGGAGGGGTATCAACTCAATTGCTCCATCAAACCTAACAGCAGTGAGCCTCTTTGGGAACCAGGGAGAGCTCAGCTTGTACCAGGAGTAGAGACACTGGCCACTGGAATCGCACCTCCCAGTTTCCCTTGAGCGGGACCTCTAAGTCCATAAGCAAGTGGTAGAAGGTCCAGTTTCCTCTGATGGTTCCCAGCACTTAATCTGGTGAGGATGTGGGAAAGAACTAAGAAAACTTGCATTTCTTCTATGATGAGAGAGATTATTCATCCTTTTGATCGAAGAGATTGGTCACCTGTCAGATGACCTTTCTATAACTCTCCTGTTGGCCTGGCCCCTGTGGCTCAGTTGGTTGGGTGTCCTCCCGTGCACCGTCTGATGCCCAGTCAGGGCGCATGCCTGGGTTCCAGGCTGGATACCTGGTAGGGGGCATGCAGGAGGCAGCCAATCAATCAATGTTTCACTCTCACATTGATGTTTCTCTCCACCTCCCTTCTCCCTAAAAAAGTCAATTCAAAACATTAAAAATAAAACTCTCCTGCTTAGAAACCTTCAAAACCACAGTGAGCTCTTACTCGGTGCCACACACCAAGCTTGGCACTTTGAACCTCATTCATCCTCAGAGCAATCCTAACGGGGTTTGTATCACAGATGCCCCCTTATCTGCAGTTTTGCTTTTTGAGGTTTCAGTTACCTGTGGTCAACCTCGGTCTGAATATGTTAAATGAACAATTTCATGCCCTGGCCAGGGTAGCTCAGTTGGTGGGGTGTTGTCCCATGCACCAACAGGTCGCTGGTTGGATTCCTGGTCAGGGCACATGACCGTGTTGCGGGTTCAATCCCTAGTCAAGGTGCATGCAGGAGGCAAACTGATCGATGTTCCTCTCTCTTCAAAAATCAATAAGACATTTAAAAAAAATAAAAATTTCAGAAATAATTCATAAGTTTTAAATTGCATACCATTCTGAGTACCTCACTTTAACATCACATAGGGATTGTATAATCTCACTTCATTCCAAGAAGGGTGCATACAGTACAATAAGATATTTTGGGAGAGAGAGACCACAGTCACTTAACATATTACAGTATAGTCAGGTGACCCTTAGTGACAGGAACATATTCTAAGAAATGCGTCAAGTAATTTCCTTGTGTGAGCATCACAGAGTGCACTTAACCACACGTGTGGCATAACCTATATACCCAGGCTGAATGGTAGAGCCTATTGCACCCAGGATATGACCCTGTATGGCGGGTCACATGTAAAACGACATGAGATTAAATCCGGCACGAGAAAATGATGCTGTCAAGTTAGTTGTTAATCTCTGACTATTCCTAACTTATAAATTAAACTTTCACAGGTATGTACATACAGGAAAATGTATCTGTGGGGTTCAGTACTAGCCACGGTGTCAGGCATCCACTGGAGGTCCGGGAAGGGAACATATTCCGACTTTACGGAAGAGAAACAGAAGCGGGAAAGGATTAATTAACCTGCCCCAGAGCACACAGCCATTGATCGCCGAGCAGGTGGGCCTGACGCGGCTCAGAATTCTTGATGAGGCCAGCACTTCTCC